GCATTCTATTCTATATAATATTTTTAGTATTTTCATAAAAATACTCTAGAGCTATTTGATCTCATATGACCTTGATCTTTTACTACAGATATATTGAATCGGGTTTTGAGCTATTTTATTCTATATGATTCCGATATTTTTTAGAATTTCGGTAGAAATACTCATACCAATTTAATTTATCATGTTTTATATTGTTTTGATCTATTCTATTCTATATGACCTCAATTTTTTATACTATGTTATTATTGATTTTATACCTGTTCATATGATTTTACAGAAGTTTATATTTATATTGGATGTTCACTGACCATGTTTTTATTTAGACATTTTATTTGATAATTTATCACAATTTTAAGGGATGATTTAGTTTTATTATAAAATGTACAATGATCACTTCAGCTATTTCATATTTTTTCACAAACATCTATATACATTGGGTTTATATGCCATATTAACTGCTTGTGACAATAGAGCAATTTATAGAGATTGATTTCTTATACACCATGGATACATAGTTATTCGATAACCAGTAGAAGTTCACTTAAATAACATCAGGTGACTATTGCAAATAACTTTGGGAAAGTAGCTCTTACATTCCCTCCCTAAAATGGTGATCATTGTCCTTTGTTTCTAAAACTCACCAGAACAATGGCGCAGTGATGCGCGCGCATCGTCTTACATGATGTTTCAGCAATCCACAACAAAATGGCGCCTAGATATTGCACATATGCACTGACATTGCGCAAATGCGGACGCGCATTTCTCGCGCATGCGTCTAGTCGCCGAGAAAATGGCAGGCGCAATCATCCGTGCGCCATTTCTCACTATTTAAAGAACAAATACAGACGTCAGGCATTGATAGCATACCCCCTATGAGTATGTGCGTAGCACGAAACGCGTCAGTGAGGAGCTATAACGCTGTGACGTCACGCTGCTGAGATCCTGTGGTGGTCTGGCAGCCACCTTGCCTGCACATGGTCAGTGTGTTATTTTCTGTTACCTACTATATACCTTGACTGGAAAATAAAATTTTGAAGCAGTATCACGCTATGTGGCCTCCTCCTTTTTTGGACTCTTTATGAATCCAACCATCCGCAGAGTTCTGTGCAGAGGAGAGGGAAGCTGCTATCATCTAGGAGGTACCCAGGGAGGATTCCATATCAGATGGGAGAAACTCCCTTCAAGGTGCTCCAGCTGGCCCAGTGAGATGTTGTTTTCTCAAATGCGCAAATACTTTGTGCATCTGGTGAGTGCGCAATTTATTTATTTAACACCAGAAGTGGTTGGGAAGATATCTTCAATACCATATTTCAAATCTTGACCATCACATGGACTTTTGATTGTGCATCACATGCTAATTTATATGCTTATATTTACCGCATGATATATATTGTTGATCTTAAAAGCGCTGCACCTTTATTATTTTTTATTTTAGATGATGAATAATAGTCCAAATGGGGACTAATAAGTGATATGTCCAAACATTTGTACTCAAATCAAGAAACAACGCATAAACATGATGAATAATAGTCCAAATGGGGACTAATAAGTGATATGTCCAAACATTTGTACTCAAATCAAGAAACAACGCATAAACATGCAAGTGAATAATAATAAATGTGCATAAACAAATGCAAAAAAAAAATTAAATAAATCCAAAACACTGAATAGTATTTCCATACAAAGGTATATACATTAAATATATATCAAATGAACACAAAATATATATATATGCAATAGTGGAAAAATGTCCATGGAACTTTATCTGACATTAAACATGCAACAGAAACGCATGACACAAAACAACAAAACGCATGTGAAAAAAAAGTCCAGAATGGTGCTAACAACACCACACAATCCAAAAAATAAAATATACACTCGTGCTCGTGGATGGTGAATGTGGGTAACCACAAAAAGGTATCCGTAAGTAGCTAGATTGGCCGCTCACCTCCTTGCTTCAACCCACAGGGGTCAAAACACTTTTGGGATCATAAAACCAGATCCTCCATGCATAAGATTCCTCTATCTCCGGATACCTCTCCCTGCATCGATCTCCCTCTCAGGGATGTGCATATAAGTGGTGAAATCCTCTCCAGGTAAACGGGTAGGGTGTAAGCCAGTATCTCAGTAAAAAACATAGGTAGAACTTCCCATAGTGTATTACCTTTTATTAAACTCAATAATAAGCAAAGTATTCCAAATTTTGCACTCACATTGTCATCCTTGTTAACCTCCCTAGCGGTATGATTCTTTCCGATTTTTTGTGCTGAAAGCGGTACCATTTTTTTGCATGGAAATATGTAGTTTTTTATTGTAGGCTGTAATTTTTAGGAATAACTCACTGAAATCTGTACGAACAAGAGTCTATTAAACATTCCGGATATGATAAAATTTGAAACACGAAATCATAAATTATAATTTAATAAATAATCATAAAAAATAATAATATAATAATAATAAATTTAATTCAATAATATAATCAAACCAAAAACACTGAAGTTTGAAATACAGAGGCAAATTTGCACATCGCTGAGCAAAGTTGCAAAATCGTTTTCAGTGTCTGATGACGAATTTCCCCACGAATCATTATCACTCAATTCTGCAAGTGGTTCTGATTTACTATCGCTGTTCTAAAACCGCTTTTGACGTAAAGGGACGCTTTTTGGATGCCATGGACTTTTCTAAGTTTCCAGGCAGAAAGAACAGTAAAAATGCAGGCAGGGCACAGGACAAAGCAGTAGGGACAAAATGTATGTGAAATGCATTGAAACAGCAATGACAGCAAAAATGCCATTTTTTAAAAATTTCAAATTTCCCGCCGGTTCCGGCGCCCGTACGTTCCGACGTCACAGGGACTGGAACACAGAAGCCGGATGCCGGCATCGGCCGGAAGAGATGGCCGGGGACGCTGCAGGGGACACATCGCGGGAGCGAAGGACAAGGTAAGTGCTGCAGGGACCCCCAGAGAAGAGCCGCATGGTAAGCCCGAGTGTAGCTCGGGGTTATCGCTTTTGGTATAGAAATTTTACCCCGAGCTACACTCGGGAATACCGCTAGGGAGGTTAAACAAGCATTCAGAACCTCATGTTCTGGATGTATTTGCATGGGTATAGTAAGATGGCGTCCGCACCGGAAGTGCGTCTTTGCATGTTATGTCACTATACATATTGTTTTTACATTTTCTATGCATATATTGCTATTATATGTACTTTACTGCTGGTGAGTAGCGCTGCATGATTTTTTCTTATTTTATAAGAGCAGTCCAGTTGATTAATATATCAGGAGTACCTTCCTGGAGAAAATGCTGCTCCAGTATCCCATCAGTGCTAGTAACATGGCCAAAAGCCTGGGCAGCTGATCACATGACCTGTCCCATGATCAGCAGAGATCAGGACAGGAAAGTACTGCCATTGTGCTACTCTTCACTTTTCCACCCCAGCAAGTCTGTTAACATAGTTGTAAGTTAACATTTTAGTTTAGGTTCACTTTTAATGTCAGACAAAGGAAAGCAGCATTCATGGATCAGTGAGCAGAATAGAAATCCAATCATTACTCTTTGGTGAAAATGTCTGTTTTTAAAGATGACACTGGATGACCTATAGCAGGCAGAATCCATTGCTAAATGCAGCAATATAATTACATTGTAACAAATAGCTCACAGGCCACAACCCAAGGTCCCAAGTGGAAAGTCCACTAAGAGAGAATATTTATTGCCTCCTATTCCTGGATATGAAGTCTGTAGATGTCAAGATCAATTTTATTGTTCAATAACCTTGTGAAAGCTACAAGTGATGCAGCGTGGCAAACTCTGGAAGATGTAGTGCATTTATGATATGTCAGCAGCAAGAATGCCGCTGCTCTGCTACCTGATCCACAAGGCCTTGTGATGTTTAAATAATGTTGCTGGTATGTGTGACGGCTGTACACTTCTCTACAAGAGATAAAAGAATAGATGGTACAAGAACTGCACAGTACAAGGTCACATTGTTGTGCCTGCGGGTCAGACCACTTACTGAAACTCCTCTATGTGTTCCGGATGTGTAAACCCAAATCTAAAGTTACATTTACATAAAATAGTTACTAATTCTGTATAAGAATATATACATTCCCAAGTTTAGAATACTTGTAAAACTCTAAGGGTTCTTTTACATGAGTGACCGGGAAAGGTGGGGTGGCCGCAGTTTTATTGCCCCCCCTCATCTGCCCACCCAAATCTTAACAATACAGCTGGATAAGGTTGTAGACATGGCACAGCCGCAATGTTGCGCTTTGCGCTCAAGGTATTTTTATATCAGGGTGCAGAGTTTGGCAAAGGGCATCATCTGTATATAACGCACAGCAGTTTGACAGTACAGGGTTAAATTGGGCAATGAGGAGATATAACACCTCCTCATTGCCTATCCAATACCCTGTGAAAAGCAATCTGAATGTGGGTTGCTTTTCAGTGGGATAAATCAATAATACAGTGCAAACAACTATTAAATTAAATTGTGTGAAAAAAAAGTCCAAGACAAACAGTGCTTCAATGCACTGGAGAGAAAATATAGGAAAAGCAAAGTCCCAAATAAACAGTGTTTCAATAAAAGAGAATTTCCCATAATATCCAGAAGTGTTCTGCAATGGTGTCACCCCACAGTGCTTCACGATCACCACTTAAAGCAGAGTTCTGCTCACCCTGTCAAAAAATAAGTCAGCAGCTACAAAAACTGTAGCTGCTGACTTTTAAAAAAAACAGCCACTTACCTGTCCCTCAGTCCTGCTGTGTGTCCCCCGCAGCCCATTTCACTGACCATCCTGTATTCCTGGAAGCCAACATCTTCAATGTGGGCACCCGGCTGTGACTGCTTATGGCTTGACAGCCAGTATCCACTGCGCATGCGTGAGTAGCGCTGCACTTCATGAATGGTTCTGTAGTCTTCTGGGACCTGTCACATGTCCCAAATGACTACAGGGAGGGAGGACACCTTCCGATCGCCTAGGCCAGGGGTAGGCATTTAATGGCATCTTCAATGTGGGCACCCGGCTGTGACTGCTTACGGCTTCACAGCCAGGTACCCACTGTGCATGCGTGAGTAGCGCTGCGCTTCATAATTGGTCCTGTAGTCTTCTGGGACCTGTCACGTGTCCCAAAAGACTACAGGGAGGGAGGGAGGACACCTTCCGATCGCCTAGGCCAGGGATAGGCAACCTGTGGCTCTCCAGCTGTTGCAGGACTACAAGTTCCATCATGCCTCTGCAAGTCATAGCTGTAACTGTCAGTTTTGTAATGTTGCAATGCCTCATGGGAAATGTAGTTCCACAACAGCTAGAGAGCCATAGGTTGCCTACCCATGGCCTAGGCAATTGGACCGGAAGTGGGAGCGGGTACCTGTCAAATTTGGGTACCCGCTCCCCCCGCCCCCCAAAGGTGCCAATCCTTAATGGGGAGCGGGGGGGAGCAGTCCTTAAAGCAGAACTTCCCCTTTTGGGTGGAGCTCCGCTTTAATACACTCCACACTCACCAGATTCATTGGACTCCCAACTTGTACGGCATAAGAGTCAAAAAAGCTTAGACTGGTGAGATGTGTTCTCAGGCATAACCAGGACATAGATAGGTAAAACCTGATTCCATATGCTTCCTTAGTATGTTACCATAATCCTCATGTATGTAGGAAAGTTATGAAAAGCAGGAGGAACACTCATAGTGTAACTCTTTATTTAGCAGTAATCAAATAAGTATTCACACGTATAAAGAAATTTCAAGCTTTTAGGTAAAAAACAATGTTCCACATGGGCACAGAAAATGGATCCGGAGCACCGCACACTGCGTGTACTCCACTCACTGGACGTGATGTCACAAAGTCGCCCCAAAACCGGAAATTACATTGACGCATTTCGCTCATCCTCCGGGGCGTGATCAAAGACCACATCACGTTAGCGCGGGTATTTAAGTTTTATTATATGCTTTTCAGAGGGCAACACAAGTGTGAAAAAGTCCTAATGCTACCTGCTCTTGCCTGAGGCCAACAATTGTTTTTAGAGAACCTACAATGGTTTTGTAATAGTTTCATGGTAGTAGTTACATAGTCTAGTTGAAAAAAGACACAAATGTTCAACCCACAGAGAAAAAAAAAACACACACACACACACACAAAGAGAAAACCTCTATACACAATCCTATACCCACAGCTGATCCACAGGAAGGCAAAAAACCTCAATAGGCAATTTGCTCCAGCAGGGGGGAAAAATTCCATCCTGTCCCCAAGGGGCATTCGGATATTCCTGGATCATAAATGTTAGTATCCACTGTGGTCCATGCACACTGTAGTGATGTATGAACTCCAGATCTTCCTGGCAGAAAGCTGCTGTGCAAAAAACGTATAGCGCGTGCATTTAGGCGTGTATATGCGCATAGGGGCAGCATTAAGGTTTGTAAGAAAAAAGTCTCAAAGATCAAAAAGATGATGTTTTTGGGTGCCTGTGTGCAAGAGACCTTTTGTGTTTGAACGGATATTTATTTAATTAGTTGTTATTATTTACATAAAATGTGTTTTACACATACACTTTCAAGATAGGGTTCACTCATAAAACTCACTTTATAAACCTTTCAGGGTGCTCCAAAGTAGTAGAATTTCTCAAACTGAAACTTCATATGGTCCCAACTGAACAAAGCGGTGGGGGGGGGGGATGGGGGGTGAGTCACTCCTCTGTCTTAACTGTGTACTTGACACCTTTCTGCAAGCAGGAGTCAGCCCAACAAGGGGATCTTAACCACTTGAGCCCCAGAGGATTTACCCCCCTTAATGACCAGGCCTTTTTTTGCTGTTTGGTGCTGCACTAATTCAAATGATAATTGCGCGGTCATGCAATGCTGTACCGAAACAAAATTTACGTCCTTTTCTTCACACAAATAGAGCTTTCTTTTGGTGGTATTTGATCACCTGTGCGCTTTTTATTTTTTGCGCTATAAACAAAAAAAACACAAAACTTTTGATAAAAAACAATATTTTCTACTTTCAGCTATAAAAAATATATATCGTAAACTCAAAGCTAGTCATAAATTTAAGCCAAAATGTATTCTGCTACATGTTTTTGGTAAAAAAAATCCCAATAAGTGTAAATTGATTGCTTTGTGTGAAAGTTATAGCGTCTACAAACTATGGTATAGATACTGTAATTTATGCCTTTTTTTTGCTATACAGCGCTGCAGTAACTCAAATGATAATTGCGCGATCATGCAATGCTGTACACAAACGAAATTTACGTCCTTTTTTCACACAAATAGAGCTTTCTTTTGGTGGTATTTGATCACCTGTGCGCTTTTTATTTTTTGCGCTATAAACAAAAAAAAACCACAAAAATTTTGAAAAAAAACAATATTTTCTACTTTCAGCTATAAAAAATATATCGTAAACTCAAAGTTAGTCATAAATTTAAGCCAAAATGTATTCTGCTACATGTTTTTGGTAAAAAAAAATCCCAATAAGTGTAAATTGATTGCTTTGTGTGAAAGTTACAGCGTCTACAAACTATGGTATAGATACTGTAATTTATGCCTTTTTTTGCTATACAGCGCTGCACTAACTCAAATGATAATTGCGCGGTCATGCAATGCTGTACCCAAACGAAATTTACGTCCTTTTTTTCACACAAATAGAGCTTTCTTTTGGTGGTATTTGATCACCTGTGCGCTTTTTATTTTTTGCGCTATAAAAAAAAAAACCACAAAAATTTTGAAAAAAAAAAACAATATTTTCTACTTTCAGCTATAAAAAATATATCGTAAACTCAAAGTTAGTCATAAATTTAAGCCAAAATGTATTCTGCTACATGTTTTTGGTAAAAAAAAATCCGTGCATTAGCGGGCAAACTGGCGCTATCTAGGAGGGGCGCTAACACTATCGGAAGTCACCAGTGACACTAATACAGTGATCAATAAAAAATCTGTTCACTGTAATCAATGACACTGGTGACAGGGCAGTGAAGGGGTTAACTGGGGGGGGGGGGCGATCAAGGGGTTAAATGGGATTTCTGGTGCACTAGCGGGCAAACTGGCGCTATCTGGGAGGGGCACTAACACTATCAGAAGTCACCAACGACACTGGTACAGTGATCAGTAAAAATCTGTTCACTGATCAATGACACTGGTGACAGGGCAGTGAAGGGGTCAAGTCGGGGGGGGGGGGCGGGGGCGATCAAGGGGGTTAGACGGGATTATTGGTGTATTAGCGGGCAATCTGGCGCTATCTGGGAGGGGCGCTAACACTATCGGAAGTCGCCAGCGACACTGATCAGTGATCAAAAAATCGCTTCACTGATCAGTGACACTGGTGACAGGGCAGTGAAGGGGTTAACTGGGGGGGGGGGAGATTAAGGGGTTAAATGGGATTACTGGTGTACTAGCGGGCAATCTGGCGCTATCTGGGAGGGGCGCTAACACTATCGGAAGTCGCCAGCGACACTGATACAGTGATCAGTAAAAATTGGTTCACTGATCAGTGACACTGGTGACAGGGCAGTGAAGGGGGTTAACTGGGGGGGGGGGAGATCAAGGGGGATCAAGGGGTTAAACGGGATTACTGGTGTACTAGCGGGCAAACTGGCGCTATCTGGGAGGGGCGCTAACACTATCGGAAGTCGCCAGCGACACTGATACAGTGATCAGTAAAAATCTGTTCACTGATCAATGACACTGGTGACAGGGCAGTGAAGGGGTTAACTCGGGGGGGGGGGGGGGGGGCGATCAAGGGGTTAGACGGGATTATTGGTGTATTAGCGGGCAATCTGGCGCTATCTGGGAGGGGCGCTAACACTATCGGAAGTCGCCAGCGACACTGATACAGTGATCAGTAAAAATTGGTTCACTGATCAGTGACACTGGTGACAGGGCAGTGAAGGGGTTAACTGGGGGGGGGGGGGCGATCAAGGGGTTAAACGGGATTACTGGTGTACTGGCGGGCAATCTGGCGCTATCTGGGAGGGGCGCTAACACTATCGGAAGTCGCCAGCGACACTGATAGTGATCAGTAAAAATCGCTTCACTGATCAGTGACACTGGTGACAGGGCAGTGAAGGGGTTAACTGGGGGGGGGAGATTAAGGGGTTAAATGGGATTACTGGTGTACTAGCGGGCAATCTGGCGCTATCTGGGAGGGGCGCTAACACTATCGGAAGTCGCCAGCGACACTGATACAGTGATCAGTAAAACTTGGTTCACTGATCAGTGACACTGGTGACAGGGCAGTGAAGGGGTTAACTGGGGGGGGGATCAAGGGGTTAAACGGATTACTGGTGTACTGGTGGGCAATCTGGCGCTATCTGGGAGGGGCGCTAACACTATCGGAAGTCGCCAGCGACACTGATACAGTGATCAGTAAAACTTGGTTCCTCACTGATCAGTGACACTGGTGACAGGGCAGTGAAGGGGTTAACTGGGGGGGGGGGCGATCAAGGGGTTAAACGGATTACTGGTGTACTGGCGGGCAATCTGGCTATCTGGGAGGGGCGCTAACACTATCGGAAGTCGCCAGCGACACTGATCAGTGATCAGTAAAAATCGCTTCACTGATCAGTGACACTGGTGACAGGGCAGTGAAGGGGTTAACTGGGGGGGGGGGGGAGATTAAGGGGTTAAAACGGGATTACTGGTGTACTGGCGGGCAATCTGGCGCTATCTGGGAGGGGCGCTAACACTATCGGAAGTCGCCAGCGACACTGATACAGTGATCAGTAAAAATTGGTTCACTGATCAGTGACACTGGTGACAGGGCAGTGAAGGGGTTAACTGGGGGGGGGAGATTAAGGGGTTAAATGGGATTACTGGTGTACTGGCGGGCAATCTGGCGCTATCTGGGAGGGGCGCTAACACTATCGGAAGTCGCCAGCGACACTGATACAGTGATCAGTAAAAATTGGTTCACTGATCAGTGACACTGGTGACAGGGCAGTGAAGGGGTTAACTGGGGGGGGGGGGGATCAAGGGGTTAAACGGGATTACTGGTGTACTGGCGGGCAATCTGGCGCTATCTGGGAGGGGCGCTAACACTATCGGAAGTCGCCAGCGACACTGATACAGTGATCAGTAAAAATTGGTTCACTGATCAGTGACACTGGTGACAGGGCAGTGAAGGGGTAAAAACTGGGGGGGGGGGGGGGGGGATCAAGGGGTTTAAACGGGATTACTGGTGTACTGGTGGGCAATCTGGCGCTATCTGGGAGGGGCGCTAACACTATCGGAAGTCGCCAGCGACACTGATACAGTGATCAGTAAAAATTGGTTCACTGATCAGTGACACTGGTAACAGGGCAGTGAAGGGGTTAACTGGGGGGGGGGGGCGATCAAGGGGTTAAACGGAATTACTGGTGGTGTACTGGCGGGCAAACTGGCGCTATCTGGGAGGGGCGCTAACTCTATCGGAAGTCGCCAGCGACACTGATCAGTAAAAATCGCTTCACTGATCAGTGACACTGGTGACAGGGCAGTGAAGGGGTTAACTGGG